GGCCCGGGCCGCTGCGAGCTAAGATTTGCAGTCAGAGTGAACCCGCGCCTGGCCTCTTGACTCTGTCGTCCTACTAATGCTGGAAAGGCCAGAATGCAGCAGTGGTACTCGGTGGGTGCCAGGTGTAACCGTGAACCCTGATGGGGAAGGTTATACCCTCTGGTCCGGCTCGGCTGCCCAGGTGTATGGTGATCAACTTGGATGGACCAAGCTTCCCTAGAGCCCATTTTCCTCCACTGAGCAGGAGGGAAAGGCAACAGGCTGCTTGCCCCCTGCCCCCCAGGCCATCGCCTCTTGCTGCCACCCGGAGGATGCAGAGGCACCGTGCTGGACCCGCCTCTCCAATCCCAGCCCTGGCTGCGTTCCTCATAAGGAAACCGAGGCAAGTCGCGTGCAGATGGACGAGCAGGCTTTACAAGAGCTTGTCTTCTTCGGCATAGAGACAGAGGGCAGCACTCCTCGGCAGGAAGTCACCTTCACCTTGTGAACTCCTGGAGGGAAGGAGCTAGGTCGTTTTTTATTAATAACAGCAGCAGCACAACAATAATCAGACTCACCTTTCAAAGATGTATTAATTGCAAGACACTGCCAACTGCTTTACCTACATTACTTTTGTCACAACAACTCTATTGCTGTCCTGGAATCTGAGGGTTAGCTAGGCCTCGCGAGGAATCCAGGGTAGCCTAGCTAGGAAGGGGTCTGTGCTTTTCACCACTGTGGAGTGTCACCTTGTAGGTCTTTCTTTCAGGTCATGCTGTGGATCTTCACCCTGTCCCCTAGCGATTCTTCCCTCTGCCACCATGGCCAGGGAAAAATCCTAGGTGGTCTAAATCTGGGCATCTCTTCCTTCCGGCAGCGTCAGACTCCGCCTCCAGCTGTCCTGCGCCCATACCCACAGCCTTCTAACCTTGACTGCTGGGAAATGGTGCTTACAGTCCTTAAATCCTCTCTTTGGAGAACCCGAATATAGTTCTGCACCTTTTGGAAAACAGAGGTCATGTACTAGTTTCTTTTGACAACTGCTCTAAAAACAAGCCCAAATTAGAATGAAAAATGGATTTTTTTATTGTTTAATTAAAATCATACACATTTTCCATTAAAATATACAAAAACTATACAAAATAAGTATTACATGTTTTATTCATTTTTCAGGAGTCAATAAATGGTGAGTGGCTCAAATAACTGTGCTTCTCACTGCATAGAAAGGAAGCCCCAAGACCATAAGACCCTCCCTGGTCTGCACCTAACCCAGGGCCAGCCTTATTTGGCTACCAGCCTAGATCCTCAAATCATACCGATGTGATTTCCTCCTATGACCTACGCTGCAGTTGGTATTAGATATACCACATTTTCTAAAATGCCCTTGAACTCTACCTTTAACTATTCAAATACCATGGATCCTCCCAGGTCCAGACAAAATACCACCTCTTTCAAGAAACCATCCCGTTCTTCACATACAATGACACTAAATATTGAGTTGCTTAGTATTTGTTCTGAGCAATGTTTAATATGTGTTTATTGACCCCTGTGTTCCTAAAATAATGCATATTTTCAACAACTGGAGGATTGTTATTGTGCAAACAGTGGATCAGGTGTTAAATATTATCAGAAGAATTGTTGAACCTCACATTCAACTCAAGGATGAGCTGTTCTCTTAGAAGCGATAAAGCTTCTTATACCTTGTTTTTGTTACCATCATCTTAAGTAATAGAAAACCTGTCTCTACTAAGTTCACCAACAATATGTAATATCTCACATAGGAAGTACAAAAGTGGCCGATATCAAGATTGGCTTAACATCTTTAATGTTGTCAAGGACCCAAGTTCTCACCTTCAGTCTATTGACTTTGTCCTTAGATAATTCTCCTCAAGGTCTCATATGGCTGTTATATTTTCCAGCTCCCTTTAAGACATTACAAAATCCAGGCAAAAAAGATGAGTTCTTACTTTAAACTTCTTAAGAGTGTGGAAAACATGCCAGATCCCCTTAGATCTTTTTTTCATAACCCAAATCAGCCAGAACTAGGTCATAAACTATCTCTCAACTGTCATGACAAAAGGAGGTGAGATTATCATAATTGATGACTAATCAAGATTTACTCCCCTTTTATATTAAGGAGGGAGAAAAAGAGTGGGAGAGATAGGACAGGCAGTGCCGAAGAGAAAGCTGAATTTTGGCCAGTCTCCCAGTCTTCTATTCCTGCATCCTCAAGCTTAGTGACCTTAATACTCTAATACTTAATATACTTTTATACACATACCATATGCATTATATATGTAATTTTTCCAAGATTCTGGGCTGGACTCCTAAGAAATAAGGACTTCTGTAGGGTAGAAATTTTTTTAATAATATATACTGATTTAGTCAATAGCAAGCTGATTGCTCGAATTCTTAGGAAATGGTAAAATCACATTTGTTCTTTTGCTTTGTTTTTCCCCCTGAATAACCAACCACATTATGGATTCCACATAGGATCTTTCCTTTAACAATATTAATGCCTGGCTGAATTAAGTTTTTTGTTTGTTTGTTTGTTTGTTTGTAGACATCTGAGAATTAAGTCAGGAGGATAGCAAATAATTCCTTTGATTTAACAAGTAATCTGATAACTGGATTTTTACCATTAGATCATTACCTTAATGAAAGTCTGTAAATTACAGAAGCATTTGAAAATAAAGTTGTTAAATAGCCAATCCCCTCTTTTTATGAAGACAGCTAGGATAATTGTAACATATATTCTTCATCTTGTAATATCATTTCCTTTTCCTAAATAGGCCTTCTAGGTTTCTTTAATTTTTACACATGTAAGGTAAAAGCATTCTTAAGTGGTGGCTCCAGTTAGACTCATGTCATTTACTTAAATATCATGTGGGCTCTCTTTTGTGGTTATATCTCTCTTCTAGTAAATGTGTAGCTGCCTCCATAACAATACCCCATCCAACAATGAATGTTCCTACAGTAGTACTAACTCTCTCCTGCTCTTTTTCAAGATGCCCCTGGAACTGCTTGTACATAATCCAGTTGTACTTCAATACCATCTCTCTAAATCAGAGACCATTAAAGCCAGAACTGCAGCCTTCTCCTTTTGATAGGTGAAGAAACTGAAGCTCTGGAGTTTGCAGAACATTGTTGTAACACTAGTTAGTAGTAAAATAGGATCTCATTGTCTTATTTTCTGGTTGGTTGCCCCGTATGATATAACTCACTGCTAATGGTGATTACCTTTAAGGACAGAAGCAGCTCTAACCAAGTGATTGAGTCGGATTGTTTAATGTGGAGTTGGTGCTCATCCAGGGGAGAACAGGATTTGCTCTATGTCCTTGGGGACCAAAAGCTCACTAACCTCCAGCCCATCTTACCCAGAGATTTGATTTGCTGCTCCAACTCCACTCACAGGTACCGATGGTCTCCTCAGATCCTTGTTTTATGCCCAGCATCCCACACAAACCCTCAAGGACATATTTAACACAATGATGCTTATCTCCCAGTCCCCCTTGGCCAGTGAAGAAAGGAAAATGGAAGAGGGCAGCTGAGGATGCGTTGCTGGCCATCTTTTCCCCTTCACAGTGAATTCAAGGCCAAATCTAGTTCAATCATAAGAGCGGGTTTTCAGTTCCCAAATGATGGTTGAACTCCCTCCACACCTTGAAGTAATCACTTGGATTTAGAAGCTCTGAGGCCTCTGTGTTTGTTTTTGTTTTTGTTTCAGTGCGGAATTATTCCATTTGCAGCATTCATTCTCAACTCATTTGTTCAAATCAGGCACTTCTACCTAGTGGAAAACAAAATGTGCTCCAATTCACTAATGTTTTTAAACCATTAAAGCATAATTTAGAAAAAGAAGCCTAACCACTACTTTTCCTCTTCTTTCTCTCTTCTCTTTCTTCATCTTTGACTAACAATTGCTATAACCCACACAAATGAGGTAGACTGTGTTAAGAATTTTCTTCACTTAACATTTCTCATTATTAATAAATTTTGCACTGACAACTATAAAGTGAACACTTTGGATTTATGCACCTAAACTAATTACATATGCCGCATGTACGCATTTCATTATTTACTTGACAGATTCATTCCTTGATATCATAAATAATTAAACAAGAATCAAATATTAACAATCAGATACATGTTAATTCTCCTCAAATCTGTAGAAACAAACTACATTTTTATCTTCAGTTCAACAAGCACTGATTAAAATTTCTTCATTAGGCAAATTCCATAAGCAAAGTTCTTGATCTACTTTTACTTTCATTGAAAATTAAGCCTGAAACAAATTATTCCAGGATTACTTCATGGAAAATAAATGAACATAACAGCATTTCTAACAAACCATTGGATTCATAATCTTTCACAAGCACTGCTGTGTCTTATATATGAAACATTAATCTGTGTGTTTGTTAGGAATTCTCAAATACAATTTTTATTATGAGCTAGAAGTCTGCACCATATTGGATGCTAGTAGTATGTTTCTAGGGATGTTTTGTCTTGTAGGATGATAGTTTTATCAAACAATTATTTTTAACTTGTTTAAAGACTGATTTCTAAGCATTATGGATACTGATAAAACCCAACTTATTTAAGCTGAAAATTTACCTTGAGGTCAAATTATAGCTGTTGCTTTTTCCACTTTAATGAGCTAGATTATTTTTATTCATGTATATCAGCATCTTCATTGATCAAACTATTCTCACATTTTATCAAATTTGCTTTGGTAGAACATACCATACAATTTCATCATTTAAAAAATATTAAAGATTCATAGATAGCCACATTATTCATAATACAAGATTAATGCCAGGTTGACAGGTTTTTGTAAAGATACGGCTTTTTTTTTCCCTAAGTGCACATACTATATCTGTGTGAAATGTACCTCTGATGTTGCATATTGATTACGCTCTTCTCTTCTCTTTTAATGCTAAAGAGAGAATATTATAGAATGATTGTCAGGGTTAGTGTGTCTCTGACCTACACATGTACTATTAATAATTTATGAGCTGATTTGAAATACAGCATCAGAAATTTAACTGAGAACACCACCTCTGCCTGGAGTGACATAGACTGGGGGTTCACAGCATATGCACTCATATTTTTAGGTTCTTTAAAAAAAACTCTAGGGAAAAAAAAAATGCTTCAAGTGCCAGAGTGGAAGGAAACCATGCTTCTTTGTTAGAAATTTCAAGTATATTCATCTCTTGTTTTCCTATCCTTTCTATATGATGTGAGATTTCACTTTAAAACTATTTAGTCAGGTTTTAAACACTAGAAAATCTAAATCAAATAATATGTAGGTATACATAACAAAGATCAGGTCATTCTTGTCTTCCCCATGCCTTCACACCCAGAGGTTGTCTAGTAAGTCACACCCAGACTCTTTTCCACGCTCAAAGACAGAGGAGGTGGGGAGAGAGATTTCCCCATTGGGTAGTATGCAGCACATTGCATTGTCTTCTCAACAACTCATAGAAGATAGTCTCCCATATCAGCACATCCATCTATAGCTCATTTTTTAAACAATAGGATATTCCATTTTAGGGATGGACAGTGGCTCACTTACCTATGCCCTTACTAATGCATTGTTAAGCTCTCTAAGATTTTTCACAATTAAAAAAATAATGCCATATGCACTAAACATACATGCTTTCTGAACTGGCTGGCCTATTTCACTGAGATAGATTCTTGCAAGTGGAATTGCTTCATCAATAACTGATTTTTTAAATCTTCTTACTTCATTAATTGGGCAAGAATAAATAAACATTCCCATTTAAAATTTTAATGATGTACTATTTCATTAATAAATATGATTGTAACATTTAAGTGCATTTGTAAATGAGTATACTTTTACAACTTTAATAGTGTAGAGTACTTTAGAATAAATTTAAGTTTTAGTTACATTAATTTTATGTGTGAGTAGCTTTATGCAAAAGTAAACTAAAGCTTACATTTTTAAAATATTTTAGCAATATGTCATTGTTACATATCTGTACCTATTATTTTTAACATCAATGTCCAAAACAGCCAGTCTTCATTCAAGCAGTGCTACATGTGACCAACACTTCATAGTGTGCTTATAGAGATTGACAACTATTCAACTATTAAGTGGTTTTCAAAACATATTCAAAGAATTTTACTTTTGGAGATACTTCATCTAAGAAATAGAATTAAAAATAACATGGTATATTTATTTGAAACCATCACAAACAAGTATATTTGTAGAATTCTCTGCTTTGCACCTAAATTATCTAAAGACTTCTACAAATAGTGTGATCGCTACCTACAGTATCTGTCAAGTTCTATTATATGAACTAGAATATGCTTTCAGAAAAGATGCCTTGCATCCAATGACAAGCACTTCCTATCTGCTAGGACAGATAAAAATTGGAACATTGATCATTTCTTGCAGAGATTTTCTTTAGCAAGAAGATAAAAGGGAAATCTTGTTATGCCAAATGACTTACTAGTCAAAACTGGCCAGGACACTGAAACCTGGAAACTAGTTAATGGTTTGTAACAAGTCAGAAATAAAGATGTTCAACCAAGAAAATGACATTAAGCAGCACTAGCTACAAGAGGAAAGAGCAGCCTGTCAGAATCATGCGAGGGCTGTGGTGACAGGTAGACAATAAAATGGGATGACACCGCTTCTTCTCAGTGGGGGAGTATTCAACAGCTTTCTCTTGGGAGTCTCACGCACTTCCTTTGTGGGGAATCTTTACTCTAAAAATGGCAGCAGACCCCTTGGAGGTCTTATTAAAATTCCCCTTCTGTGTTATAAAGTGTGTTGAAGAAGGCAGGTGACAGTACCGAACAGTTAATTCCTCATTGTATAAAGGAGAATGGGAACAACAGTCCCGCCAGCCAGGTAGCTGGCTGCTGACATTTCCAGTACTGTTGCACAGTAGGCACTGAGAAACAGGAAATGAGTCAGAGGGGCACAGTGAGCCACAACCCCACCTAAGGTGGCAGACAGCAGGAATCCACACAGAAGCAGTAATGTACATAATGAATATTTCATATACAGATTGCTATCCATTATATCTACAAATGAGTTTCAGATACTACTTTAAACCTCTATAGTGTAGAAACTGAGGGCAGCACTGAGATGAACATTATTACTACTTTTAAGAAAAATTTTCTTTCATCCACTCTTTGTCACAAAACTCAACTGTAATATGTGCACTACCTCCATCATTATAGACCATAAAGTATAGGCTACAAAAGAATTAAAAGAAAGCAACAATCCAGTGATCACCTAATGAGTTCCTTCATATCAATCATTTTGAGAACTGAGTTTCTGTGTTATCCAGAATAATGTTATTACTATTTTTTACTAACCCCGTTCTAGTGTAAAGTACCATCATTTCATGTCTATTGAAAGTGTTACATTACAACTAAACGAATTTCCAATAGTGTGATAGCTGTTAGAAGAATCTTCTAAAATATTTCTCTCTTTTTTATTCTATTCCTAACATATTTTAGGCTGTATCACAAAATAAACATTTCGTAGCCTTTTCCAGCTAATTTTTTTTTCTACTATTGTCATTTCAACCAGGGGGAAGTCTATATTTTCCATGTGGCAGTTCTGCACTTAAAATTATTTTTCCTATAGATTAGCTGTGCCTTAGTGAGCTATAAAGACAAAAGCTTAGCCTCTTTAAGCCTGTCTTCTTTGACAGCATGCACTATTTACATGAAATAAAAAGCAAATATTTGTTCTTTTCATACAAGCTGTCAGCACAAACTTGGGTTGTTTAGAAACCTATTCAACAGACAGAATTTGCATTACCACATGCCATATGATAAAAGGCCAACAATAGGTAATAACAAAAATTATTTAGAAAGAAAAAAATTGATAGGCATTTTTAGAACCGAAGGTGATCATATTAATTATGCAGTGTGCTAGTAATCAAAACTTTGTTGTTTATTCACTTGTTTAAGAAAGCATGAGCTTAATTTTAGTTGCTCGCTTGCCAGAGTATTAATTTTAAGTCTACTGCAGGGACATAGGTAGAAGAAAATGTTGTTTGTTACCCTAAAAAGCTTCCAATTAAAATTGTTTCTCAGCTCTTCTCTCCAGGGAACTTTCTAATAGCTAATAGGCACATACTCTGGAGTCAGGCAAGCCGAACATTCCTGGTATCACTGCCACCTAATCAGGGCCACAGAGTAATCACATCCAGTTGCCCAACCAACTCACGCTTCTGCTCAAGAAATCCATCGTTTCTCAACACACAGGAGCAACAATTTGCCAAAAGTAAAGAGAGGTGTCACTTCCCTCTAGGATTTGTACTATTATAGCTATCAGGCTGTGGACAAATATCACCCACTCCAGACCTACTCTGTTCTGAAACCACGAAGACAGAACTTATTCTGCTTCCTGAGGACAGTGTCCCATCTGCGGAACACACATTTAATACACAAACTCCATTTCCAGGAATAATACCTATTGATATTAACAAGCAAATAGCATCTCTACAAGATTCCCTGCAAAGAAACCCTGTCAGTGCCACTCAGTCTACCTTCAAAGACAAGTCCTTGTAATTACTTTCTCCTCTTCATTGCCCTGTCCAGATAAAGCAACAAGATCCGGAGAACCTATCCATTTTCCCCAGATACCTTCCAAAATGCACATCTGCTTTGCAGGCTGGGATCAGAAATTTCATTATCTGTATTTGTATTAGTAATTCACTGCACAAAGAGAACAGGGGGCAGAGGAGGAGAGCAAGCATGGAAGCGAACATCAGACAGACAATTGTATATATGCAAATGCTTGCAAATTTCTGCCAGCATCTCCCTATCTATAACCAAGCAACATGGAAGCCTATTCATCCCTCCAGCTTCTTCGCTGCCAAATGCCGTTGTAGTTTTGAAGGAAAATGTTCAGAAAATATTGAATTTTCAGCCACCAGGATGAAATCTAACTCAAAATCTGTGACATCAAAAACTAAATACATAAATAAAATCAGAGATTTTCTAGAAAGACAGGAGATAATGCAACTGCATGGCTACACAGGGTGAAAAACGAGATTTTTGTGAGAGGTGGGGTGGGGGGATGATTGTAAGTAGCTCTCGAGCCCAACTGACAGAACTGAAATGTTGTCTCCTGTCTTTGAGGCTATGTATTTGCATAAATAGCCTGGGCAAGAAAGCGTATGAAAAACTAGAAACAAGCATGGTAAAGAAAATGCCCCAAATCGAACACATAAATACAAAGTGCTCACTTTCAAATGAATATGCATGGTGATTGAAAACGACAAGAATCATCAAGTATTTTCTTTTTTCTTGAAATCAATTCTTCCTCAATAATGGTGGTGATAAAAAGTTTTACAACTTCGTTTAGTCGTATGTGTTTATTCTAGTCACTGAAAATCAGTAATAGTAATATACATTCTATGTCTTTCACATACAGTAATTCAGTGAATCCTCAAAATTATGCTTAGAGGTAAAGTTATATCTATTTCACAAATAAAAACCTGAGGCTCAGAAGTTCAGAGATTTACTCAAAATTATATAATAAGTAGCAAGATTGGAGTCAGACTCTCCTGATTGCCACTGCACTTCAAGCAGTCTCACACTGCTATGGTTTTTACATCGCCTCTAAAACTTCTTTTGGAATTCAGTTGCCTTTCTGACAATATTAAGAGGTGGGGCCTTTAAGAAGTGATTTGGGCATGGGAACACCAGCCTTGTGAATGGATTAACGCTGTTACCATAGGAATGAGTTAGTTCACCCATGGGAGTGAGTTAATGAGAAGGAAGCTCCTGATAAGAGGGTGAATGTTGTCGTTTCTGTCTCATGGATGCTCACTTGCCCTTCCGCCATCTTGTTTTGCAGCAAGAAGAGTCTCACAAGATGTGGCCCCTGGCCTTGGGCTTCCCAGTCTGCAGTATTGTAAGCCGAGTGAACTTGATTGTTTATAACTTACCCAGGAGCAGACAACAGATGAGGACACACACCATCGTACTGCACTACATTCCCAAAGAAACTTCACCAAGATGTAATAGTCTCAGCCACTGATATCTCTCTGCAAAATTTCATTCTACCTCTGTTCACAAGTGTTGCTTTTGCAAAGTGCAGGCGTAACCCTCACTGTAGTTGCTCAGGTCTCTACACTATGTCAAGGTTTGGATTTTACTACAGCATAGACATGCCCTTGATCTTTCCTTGGGTAATTTAATTTCAATATCTATAACCTTTTTCAAGCCTCTCCCATCAAATTCTGTAACCTCAAGGGTAGCACCCTTTCCTTCTTGGGCACATGGCTGTTCGGCCTTGCTTAAGGTTAGATGTGGCTGTGTGACAATTCTTACCAAGTGATGCGGTGGCATGTCCAACTTCCAGGCCATCTGCTCAAAGATGTCTGGGGGTGGGTTTTAAGTAATACTGCAAAGAGGAGGGCATCTTTGGAGGAATAAATAATGCCTGGTCTACCAGGTGACGATAACTGCTGCAGCTGTGTGATGGGCCCACTGGAGATATGGGGATGTGTGACACTGCATTATCCCCACATTTGTGTTTGCTTCAAAGTTCTTTTTTGGGAAATAAAAGGTGCTTGTGCCAGTTAAGATCCTTTTCTCCTTTTTACTGGTACAGAGGAGGCTGAGGACCAATTTTAGAAAGTACACATTGCTTGCAGGGGCTGGGGATTTAGCTCAGCGGCACAGCGCCTGCCTGGCAAGCACAAGGTTGTGAGTTCGATTCCCGGTACCAGAAAAAAAACAAACAAAAAAAAAAAAGAGAGAGAAAGTACACATTGCTGATGGCAGAGCTGCTTCACAAACCTGGGTCCTGGAAGACCTCTCAGAGCCAGCCTTGCCCACCTGCCTTGGAGAGTTTCCTGAGAGACAAACTGATGTCTGCATGACCACCACCCCTCAAGGCATTGCAATGCCATTTAGGGACTCTCTGCTACAGTTTCAATGTTCTCTAAGTAACTCTACCTCTGTATTTATTTCCATTCTATTTCACAACAGCCTCCCTTACTTGACCATTCAGCATAATCTCCCCTGACTTCTCCAACACTATTTTTTTCTAACTCTCTTATCATGGTGCACAATGTTAGAACTCAATAAATGTTCATCATGGTTCCATTGTTTTGTTGTGCAGTTTCAGCTGAACCTCACGCTTCCCAAATATCTAGATTCCACTAAAACAACCTTAAATTAAATTGTTCACCATACAGCTTACTGTCAAAACCCTTACACAAAAGTCATATTTGAATTTAGAGACCAATTATTTAAATTGTTAAGGATGAACTTTTGATTCAGAAAAGTACCATAAATTATTGTACCAAAACTTAGGATGACAGTAAGTTTGCAAACATTTCAACCACAAAATAAAACATTAAGGAAAATTTAAATATATATATAAATATAGCTATACTGCAAACCACCTTGTAGGTGACTCTGACCTTCAGACAGGTTTTGGTTTCCTCTCTCCAGCTCTTGGATAGCTCAGTAGCATATTTCAGGACTTGTGCCTTTCACTGAGCTTACAAGGGGCCACAGTCCTACCTTGCTGGTGGCCGCATACCAAGCCATTTTCGCTGAGGCCTAAGGAATCTTGCTATAACATGGAGCAGGGGGCATGGAGCATGTGGCTGTGAGAAATTTTTCCAAAAGGACTTGCTATATCCTTGTCATAATTGCTAAACAAGGTTACAGTCTGTCTAGAGGTCCTCAGAAGTAAAGCTGATTTTCACAAAGCGTCTCTTAGGTAAGGTCTCTAGAAGGGAAAGGATGAACTTGGAAGGCAGACCTGCAAAAAAGAAAGGAAAATTGGATGCAAGATAGTGTGCACTATTAATCAAACCTGAGCAAGAGCAGGAGCTTCAGGAAGCTGTAGCTACAGGGATAGACTGCAGGCTCCACTCTTCCCCACATCCAGTTCTGCTGGGGAACTCATCCACCAGCCAGGCCTTCCTCCCTTCCCTCCCAGCACCTACTCCTCAGGAGAATTCTCTCTTTGCCAAGCTAGTTCCCAGGCTGGCTGCACAAGTTGGAATCTGAGGGAGGAGGAACCAAGAGGAGGGGAGGCTGTCACGTCACACAAATCCTGAAAGCTGTGAGAGAAGAGAGGGAAATAGATCTAGAAGGCTCTGGAGGCTGAAGGAGGAGAATCACGGGTTTGAGGCCAGCCTGGGCCATATAGAAAGACCTTGTCTAAAAGAGAGACAAAAAGGAGGGAAGGGAGTGAAGGGGGAGAGAGAAAGGGTGTTAAAAAGGCAGGAAAGACAAAAGCCAGTGTGGTCTAGGTTTGGAAGTTTAGAAAGAGCTAAAGCTCTCAGGAGTTTGAAAAGGTTATGACTCTGTGTGTGTGTGTGTGTGTGTGTGTGTGTGTGTGTGTGTGTACAGGTGGAGGACAGAAGCTTTTAAGAAGTTTAGAGGGTTAAAATTGGACTCAGTGATATTTTTAGGAGACCTTAGGAAAGCTTTAAGTTACCTTTCAAAAGTCAGCCTGGCTCCAGCCTTGTTTGAGGTTCTCTGATGCAGCAGCCAACGTTAGGAGGAAGCACTAACCTGTCTGTTTGATTAAAAGGTGATAGCCCTTCAGATACTTTAAGTCACTCATTGACCACTCACTGAATTCCACCTGGCGCAGACATACCATATACCACTATGCAAGGCACAGCATCTAATTAGAAACAAGTTGACGAAAAGAAACATTTTACTAAGATATTTCACTGAGTAATCTCTGTGGTTCAGGAGAGGAGCAGTTCCAAAGGAAACTTTTTGTTTGTTCAAAGGTTTGTTTGTTTTAATGGTACTGAGAAGTGAAGTCAGGGCCTTCGCCTGGAGCTGCATCCCCAGCACCCTGCCCTTTTTATTTTGAGACGAGTTCTCACTAAATCACTAAGTTCCCCAGGCTAGCTTCAAACTTGCAATTCTCCCACCCCAGCCTCTCTCCCAGAGTGCTGGAATTACAGGCATGTGCTACCATGCCAAAGCATTTTTTACTGTCACATAGACCTCATGGATGGATGACATCACCATGTCAGTGCTGAGGAGAAACCGAAAATGAGGCACAATCGCTCAGCAATAGGTACACCAGAGGGACGGGATGGCTGAAGTTTCCAAGTTCAAGGAGGGATGCATCTCTGACTCACCTACCACGGAGCTCTAAATCCTTGTAGCCAGCTACTTGTGCTGGTTCTGCCACAGAAAGGAGCTTTACGAAGGGCCTGAGGGCCTCTAGCTGACCACATGCTGGTACACTCCTCAAAGACTCCAGACCGTGCTCCAAAATAAGCTATGAGCAGTGCTGGGGGAGGAAGAGAGGGCCCAGAGTGAAGGCAGAGCTCACCCTCCAGGGGCCACTGCCTGAAGAGGGAGACGGCGACTGAGTGTGCAGGGACAGACCTAGGGGTGCTGTCGCAAGGGCATATGGGACTGGAGGCGCCCAGCCATGGACACACAGAGAAAGGGTGCTTGACTGGTGTGGTCAGAGCAGACATCAGAACACAGGGACATTTAGTCAGAGTCCTGAATGATGAGTAGGAATGTGCCAAGCAGGGGGCCCTGGGCGGGGCATCGAAAAGGCCTTTCCATGCAGAGGGGGCATACAGTGCTCCATCTGCAGAGTTATCCTCAAGCTGTACATGAAGACGTGAACTCCAAGAGGCTGTGTGACTCGTCTGACATCACTCATTTTGTAAGTAGTGAAACTGAGCATTAAACTTAGTACCATCCTCCCTGCTTCTCTAGAGGACCTGGTCTCTGAAAGAGAATCGACCTCATTTAGCGACATCCGCTTGTTCCCCAAACCCTAGCCTCAGGAACACTGAGGTTGCATGCAAGTGCCCCTTCATCAACCTCAGAAGGAATCGCAAATATGATAGTTTCAAGGGAACCACAGAAGTTTAGATTCTCTTCAGATCAGTTCAGGAAAACTGCATATAGACCCCACCGCACCCCCAGCACATGCACCCAACACCCACACTCACATTTACAAGGAGCAGTGACATACCAAAGGCACTGAACAGTCCTGCAAAACACTGATGTTAAATATCACTTAACCCAATCTATCTGAAATGTAATTGACCAGGGAAACTTCCTTCCACTGTTAAAAATCCTTCCATTTTTTTAGTAACTCATTCACATCCTTCAGAACTAGTGCTCCAGGGAACACCTTTAGAACATACTATATTGTCTCCTTAATGCAGTGATGAGGAAACTTAGGTCCAAAGAGATTGGGAGCTGCCTTTAAGTATAAGCCAGCAGCAGAGCCAGAATCTAATTCACCAAACTTCCTTCAGGTCAACACTCTCTCTGGCAAATAAATCATGGTCCAATGTATGTACTCCATACCTCTGATATATAAACAGTACACTCAGCACAAGAATTGATAACTTTGCAATTGCCAACATACAAATCACTCTTTTAAAAAATACAAAGAAATCCCTAGGTGAGAGCTAAGATTGTGTATATAACTTTGAGTGTGTTTATATACACTATTAATCGCCCTTGTCATGGTTTACACTAGTTATCCCAGCCTTGCTGATATCCATTGTTTATCTTCATTGCCATCCCACTGAAATAATAATACCAATAACAACTAACTCTTTTTTTTGCTCTCAATGTGAAGGATAACATTAATATATTGATGCAAATTCTAGTGTTTATCTTTACACATTCATTTAAATGGAAACAAAGCTGAAGAAATCACTGGTTAACAAGACAATCACAAACAAATCTCTGTACCAAGTCCTTCACTGATAGATCAAATCCCATCACCACTGCCTAAAAAGAAAATTCTTTACACTGGAATTTGGTTGGAATCAAGACAACAACATAAGCAGGGGAGGAGATGTTTTTGTTTTTGCAAAGATTTATAACAATATTTGGTATGTTCAAATGTAAGCTATTTTTCGACTGGAAAAATTTTAAAGGTAATAAGCAAATTAAAAACATATTTCAAGAGTACCCAGCAGCCAGTTTTGAACAGTATTTAGGCATAATAACATATTTAGGAAAAGGCAATTGGGTCTAAAAAGTTAAACATTCAGTGCCTGTGCTCTGTATTTGTCACCAAAGTCTTCTTTATCAGCAGAAGGAGGCAAATGATACCCTGCAAATGTTTTAAACATGCAACTGTGCTTATCTTCCTGTATTAATGATCCTTATGGCAGTTGCTGTATTAACCTTATCACATGGCATAGCAATAAGGGAGACCTACTGTAAACAAAAAAAAAAAAAGCCATTTCATTTTATTTCTGGGAACTTTTCTAACCTAGTAATTTTCTAATTGTCAGGAAGGAAAAAATGAAAGTTAGGTTTTTACTGGCTTTTCTTACAATCTCAAAGAAGAAACCTAACATTTGCAAACGGGAGATTCATTAAACATTACACAATGTGAAGAGGACACTGATTAGATTATCAGCTAAACGCTCTTTGTGTATGTTCTGGGTTTCATGAGGTTCACTAAGGATCTCTGGCCGAGAGGCAAGAAGTGGCTCTGGAGAAAGCCCGTCTTGCCTGCGGGCTCATGTATGGTTAGGTCACTACCAGAAATCTCATTTGCCTCTCATTAGACTTCTATTTCCTTCTTCTTACAGTCTCTCTGTGCACACAGAAGAAATTCAAAGCCTCCATCTTTTAATTCTTTTTGAACTTTAACAATAGGAAAGTAACCCTGAGACCCTACCTTCTCTTCCTTGAGTGCTTGAGAAGTCACCTAACTTTATGATTGAAATTAATACTTCATTCAACTGCAAATTCTTGCACTCCACACACATAACAGTAGGATGAACAGAGCCCCTTCCGGTTCCTAGGCAGGGTAATATGTTGTTTCCTTTTTTTCTTCCTTTTTTTCTTCCTTTTTTTATTATTATTCCTTCAATGCAGAGCAGGGCTACTGATTACAAAGAGGCGGTTTGACTCCAGCAATAGGTCTTCTTCACTAATCCTCGCTGTCATGGAAATTCCAGCTGCTACAAGAATAAGAGGCTCAATCCATATTTGCCAGCTCTAATATGAAATCTGTCAGAGCCCAAATTAATGAGTTCCAAATTCCTTACATCACGATAACAGGTTAAGACTGGTCAATTAATTACATAAATCCTTCCCGATTCATTGTGCGTTTGCAGCTCAGACTGTGTCTTACATTACTCCATGACACAAGGCCTTTTGGCTCCTGTTGTTCCGCAGAAAGGCCCCATTTAAGTGGAGGCTGCCTGCCACGGCAAAATGTTAAATGTCACACGTTAAATTTGCACTTTTCTGTAATTGCTTTTGTTAAAAAAAAAAAAATTTAAATGAAAGCACAGGCTCCCAATACACCACTGTACAGAGAGCTGGGACTATACTGAATGAATCTCAGGGTGCGCAAGTACCTGCGTTTTTTACCCGTTTACAAACTCCTCTGTACCTGATGCCATATACTCAGCGGAAGAACCCGGAAAGTGTATATTTGTGAAAACTGACCAAGTGTCCCTGAGATCTGTGGCAGTAGAAATACACGTCCAGATGATGCTTGTCTTTATGAAAGGATTAAAATAAAACTCTTTACATAGCCAGCTACCCTTGTCTGGAGGTAAAAATGTGAGCTATATAGACCACTGTTGAGCTGACCACGTGAAGAGAAAGGAATATTGTATACGCGTGTGCATTACAGTATATCTGCGTAGGTCTTGCCTTTTAGAGCGATGTTCCCGGGCCTGCGACTTAAATATGTGACTGGTGCACATCCACAAAGGGTAGAGTAATCGAGGTATCAGAAGATACCTCTGGGCTAAACATTTTTTTAAAGAGCGCATCGAAATGCTCTTGAAATCAAAGCTAGTTGGAACTCGACCTCTGGGTTCCAAACTGTGTTCACCCCACTGGATTTCTTTGGGGACTTTTGGATCGTAGGCGTCTGTATCTAAAGGAACCAGTTTCCGCTGTCATTTCTAACTCTAGCTCTTGGGCAGACCGGACCGGAGGTTCCGCAGATTCGCGAGCGAGCAGATGATGCTCTGAGCAGCCAGAACCCTTTGTGGGCAGCAGGTTCTTCCCAAGGGGACCGAGCACCTCTTCCACCGCAGGCGGCGCGCTCGGCCCGGCAGCGCCCCCCTCTGGCGCCCGGA